CAACATGCAAGCCTCGCATATAACTGGAGGCCAGTTGATGGCATGATCTTGCATGACCAGCCGCCGATGCAGCCCTGAGTCGCTATCAAGTCCAAGTCCACGGTGCCATCGTGAGGATCGCACATGCTCCAACCTAGTCTAGCAGCCTAGAAGATTTGCCAGCTCCTCTGGCGTCAAGGTGCTTTTTCTCCTCTTTGGCCTCCCACTGATTCGTGTCTTGACGGGAGATCTAGGTGCCCGCTTCTTAGGGTTTTCCTCGGACACTTCGGTGCTTTCGTCCGTCTTCTTGGTGGAGATGTCTCCGTCGGTTACAGCGGCTGCTTCCGCGGCCTCTCGTAACTTGTCTTGGACCGATAGCTTCGGCGATCGCTCGTCGGGATGCGCACGTGGGCTCGACAAGCGCTTCTTGGTCTGTCGTAGATTGTCAGATCTGTTGAGGGATGGGTGTGGTGCTGCTGGGCTGGAGATTGTGGAGAGAGTGGACGTAGAGGGAAAGATGTCACAACGTACATGGCGTGGTCTGTCTTGACTCGTTGGTCTTGACACTCGTTCTTCAGAACGAGGTAGTTTGGCTGCAGAGGTCGGCCGACTAGCCTTCTCTGCATCGACTAGATCTATCCCAGACGTGTCTGCGTTCTCCCCGTCCACCTGAGACGGTGTATTCGGTATGGACGCTGAGAAGGCGACTTTGCGGGGCGATCGACTGGGCGACTTGTTGCCGTTGGTCTCCCTCAGCGCTGGCTGGCTGGGTTGCAACTTGATGCTGAAGACGTCGGGCCCAGTTGTCTCGTCTGGTCTCGCGTGTGGATTGGGTGAGGGCAGGTAGACCGCCTCCTCTTGCTCTTCAGTATTATCCACGTCTTCTTCTAAGGCTGAGCTTGCAGCTTCCTCGGCCTCGCTTTCTTCATCGATCACGGAGAATCCTTCCCTGTCGACCGTCTCAAATCCTTCGCCAAATCCGAGTCCCATCCTAAGCTCCTCGAGATTGATGGTGTCCCCATTGGTCATGCGCTTTCGCCAGGAGTCCATGAGGAGGAACGACTCGCGCAGCCGAGCCTCCATCTTCTCCCAGCCCGCCCGCAGCCTGTGTATCTCCTCCTCGCGCATCTCGACCTCATCCACTGCTACAAAGTTTGGATTTGTGAGGAGGTTCTTCAGGTTGTCCAAGACCGTGTCCATGTCGTCGGCGAGAGTCTCGTAGTCGGTAGGCAGCGTGTGCAGCATGTCCTGTTGCGTGTCGTCTTGCTCGTCGCCCGCGACCGAGGCGTCGTCTGCGTCTTGTTTGCGATTGACTTCGGGCATGCCTTGTAGCTCTCGCAGCGTCACCAGGGCGCTCCGCACGAGGCCGATGAGGTTGTCGTTCTCGTCGCTCAAGCTCTGGCTCAGCTGTGTCAAGAACTCGGTAGTCTCCTGCTTCAGGCTGTATTCGGGGTCGTCGACATTGGGCGACTCGTCGCGCGCATGGCCAGTAGCGGCGCCCAAGCCCGTGCTGCCGGGGTTGATGGTGATGCTTGCGCCGACGAGGCCCGTCTTGTTGCCGCGCTGCTGGCTCGTCAGGTGGCTCTTGAGCCGTGCAATCTCCTTGTCGCGCTTGCGCACGTCGTTGGTGCAGCTGGTGCGCACTTGGTCGACCGTCGTCTTGAGGCGCTGCATCTCGGCGCGCAGCTTCCGCGCCGACGACTCGGCCGTGTGCAGGGCTTTGCGCGCCGACTGCTCTTGTGCCTGGGCGAGCGAGAGCTGTCGCGATAGGTCGGCGTTGCGGTTGTGCTGCTTCTCGAGGGCGGCCGTCTGGCGCGTCGACTCGGCGCGCAGGCTTCGCAGCGTGTCGGCGCTGGATTCGCGGTATTCCTGGTCGCGCTATCTGCTCATTAGGACCCTCTCCACCAGAACGTGAACGTGCATGTGCCTACATCGCGCTTCAATATCAGGTCGTGCACCAGGTTGATGATCTGGGCCATGGTGGCCTCTTTCCCCCCTTCTCCCCTCGACGGATGCGCAAACTCAATGGGCGTGCCATTGCGCAACAACCCCCGCGCAAGCAGCAGGTTGTTGATGTACGTCGACGCCGTCTTGAGATTGTACGAGTCCATGGTGAGTGCAGCCGTCGTGGTCGGCTACCGGCGGCGTCGTCGGATGTGGCGGCGTTGTGAGCTTGTCGGCCACTGTTTGTTTATCCCTGGGTTCCGATGCCCAGGTAGGAGGTAGAAGGAGCAACCGAACAAGCACGGACCCACGCGTTCCGATCCTTCCGCCACGACTCCATGCAACGTTGACGTGATACGACGACGTCCACCTTCAGCCAGCCCGTCACAGCCGTGCATGCAGCCTCTTCGTGTCCTTCTCGCATCATCACCATCGTTGCATCCGCCTGCACCCGGCTTCACCACCACTCCCGCTTCAGCAATTATCGTGATTACCAACGACATACATATACTTCTCTAGCGTATCTGTGCGTGACTCTCGTTTCGCATGGCCCAGAAGTTTAATGCCACAGACGTGTTTTTCCCCTGAGATCGGACTCGGACTCGGTCCCACCATCAGCGCACCCCACCATGACCGTCGATGACAATTATACGCACTGCTTGTCTGACAAACCTTCGGGTTCCGAGACTGCCAGTCCTGCAATTCGGCACTCAAGTACCGTTTCCAATACTGGGCTCGCCTTATCCTATCCAGGCTAAATACCCATTCCAGCAAACCATATAGTTTTACGACGGTGTGCGTCGATTCCCCTCAAATGTCGGGCCCATTGCCGTAAGCTTCGCAGGGACTCTCACATGATCTGCACTCAATTCCTTATTTCATGCGTCGCCATTGGAGGGGGTTTGCCGTATTTTACGATTCTTCCACGCGACCTGCCCTAGCCATGGTTCTCCCCAGCTTGTGTACATGTGCTGCTCTTTGCATGGCTGCCATGGCGTCCGGAACCAAGACCGGAGACAGCTAAACCTAACGTCGAAGAAGCCCACATTGTAGTACTTAAGGCACATCGCTCATCAAGAGGTGGTCTGTAGGCTGCGTTCGTTCTTCTGCGCTTTCGTCCATCTTTCGCTCGTTCCTTACACTCATTCACTTCCAGACATGGACAAGTTCACCTCTCTCGCTCTTGCGACTCTCCTGTTAGGAGCCCAATCCGCCTTTGCTATTCCCACAGAGGCCACTACCAAAGCGTGTAACGAAATCAACAATGCTCTTCCAGGAAAAGTCCTCACTCCGGGACTTCTCAAGCTCGAATACGCACATGAGACGCAGCAATACTGGGCTACCAATCTCCGCGAAGTTGATCCTGCATGCATTGTTCAACCAGACTCTGCCCAAGATGTGTCCATTGCTATCAAGATCTTGAACAAGTACCCGACTGTCAAGCTTGCTACACGGAGCGGAGGTCACGATCCAAACAAGCAACATGCTGCAGTCCAAGACGGTGTTCTCATCGCCATGACCAATCTAGTCGGAGCGACGTACGACGCAGCAGAAGATGTTGCCTACGTCCGACCAGGAGGTGAATGGAACGACGTCATTGGCGACCTTGAGAAGAGCGGCGTGGCAATCGCTGGAGGACGACTCGGTCTCGTCGGTGTCGCTGGTCTGCTGCTGGGTGGAGGTCTTTCATTCCTCGGTGCTCAAGAGGGTCTTGCAGCCGATGTCAGTTTTCCGCTATATGCAAAAGGCAGCTATGCTAACAAGCGATAGAACATCATCGAATGGGAGACTGTTATGGCGAACGGGTCTGTCGTCAACGTCAATGCCGCAAAGCATCCCGACCTTGCGCAAGCTATGCGTGGTTCCGGTAGCCAGTTCGGTATTGTCACCCAGTTCAAGACTAAAGTCCATCACATGGGCGACGTCTGGGGTGGCTCGTGTGTCTTCGACGACTCAAAATCCGACGCACTATACGCTGCTTTGCACAACTTCATGGCACACGGTGCCGAAGACCCCAAGGCGGCCATCATTCTTACGGACCTCGTAGTCGCAGCTGGAATCAAGACGAAAATCCTCTTCTCCTTTTACGACAACCCTAAGCCACCTACATCGGGTCCGTTCGCCGATTTCTTCAAGATCGTCAACCCTTTGTGTCTACCCAAGACACAAAAGTACTCCGAGCTAGTAAGTCTATAATCTAACTTCAATGTGCTGTATAGCAACTAACAGTTTCCAGCTGAAGGCAAACGGCGAGCCAGTCCGACTGTTGAACGCCCGCGCATTCTTCCGCACTTACACTGTTCCATACATTGCATCCCGGCCTCAGATGTACAAGGAGATTCGCGACAAGCTTGCTGAACTCACTGGTATCTTCCTCAACACCCTACCTGTCGTTCGCGCCATCCAATTCAGCGTTGACTTCCAACCTCTTCCATCCCGCTTTGGAAAGATGTCCGAGTCTAAGGGCGGAAATGCCATGGGACTTTCGTCCTCCGACCCTGATCGCATCATCCTAATTTACCAAGGAGCGTGGAACTTGCCCACAGACGACGCTCTTGCGTTTGGCATCGCCAGGGAATTGACGTCTTGGTTAGACAAAGTCGTGCCTCAATGGATAGCAGAAGCGGGCATGCCAAGCGACATGTACATGCCTTTGTTCATCAACGATGCCATGTGGGACCAGCCAGTTTTCCAGAGCTACAAGGATTACAACAAGTTTAAGGCATTGCAGAAGAGTGTTGACCCAAAGGGCTTGTGGAGCACCAGGGCAGGTGGCTTTAAGTATTAGGTCCTTGTCGCCAACGTCATTATTATCTAGTACATACAATAATGTGTGTTTTAAATACCATCGTGTCAATTGCATCTTTCGCACGCTTGCTGCCGTTAGTCAGTCGCATCCTGGGAGCAGAATAGGAAGGTGTTCTTGAAGCAGCGGGGGCCACTATACTGAAAGCGGGGTAGTAGTACCCGGGTGTCTGACTCCATCACTACCAGTATGACTGTCTTGCATACACGTCGACTACAAAAGCTCCTTCATCTTCTTGTCTCGCCGCAAATTTCGTATCTACTACCAACGCATGATGGCTCAAACACTCCAGTTCACCAGCTACGAGCATGAAGATGCCTGGGACGTGAATTGGCTGCGCGTGGATGACACCCATGAACTTTACTATCAACAGTTCGGCAAGAAGGACGGAAAGCCTGGTAAAAGTGCCAGCCATGTTGTCGAATTTTCCTGATAGTTAACGCTTTACAGTCATCTACCTCCATGGTGGGCCTGGCGGGAACTGCTCCAAAACCAACACCGTCTTCTTCAACCCCTCTGAATACCGAGTGGTTCTGCTCGACCAGCGAGGCTGTGGTCAATCGCGCCCCAATGCCAACACAACAGACAACACTACTTGGCATCTCGTCGAAGACATCGAAAAGCTGCGCAAGCATCTGAAGTTTTCCAAATGGCACATGGTCTTTGGTGGCTCCTGGGGATCCACACTCGCTCTAGCATATGCGCAAACACACCCCGATAGTGTAGGTACTCTAGTCCTGCGCGGCATCTTCACCGTGCGAGACATCGAACTCAAGTGGACCAACCATGCAGGCGGCGCGCAAATGCTGTTTCCCGACCGCTGGGAGGACTTTATCAAGTTCTTACCAGAGGAAGAACGTTCCGATCATATCGGCAACTACCACAAACGCCTCATGTCTTCGGACTCGTCTATCAGTCATCCCGCGGCTGAGGCGTGGAACACGTGGGAGCTATCAATCAGCACCCTGTATCCTGACCCACACGCGTACAAGAAACTGAAAGAACCAGCCTATCTGCTCGCACATGCTAGGATGGAGATTCACTACTTCATCAACAAAGCATGGATGGAAGACGGGCAGCTGTAAGTCTTGGCTGTACGGAATGCAGATGATTACTGACTTCGTCCTGCAGGTTGAGGAAGGAGAACGTGGACCGGATCCGGAACATTCCGACGACCATCGTGCAGGGCAGGTACGATATTGTCTGCCCACCGGTTACAGCGTGGGAGTTGTACAAGCAGTGGCCGGAGAGCAAATTGCACTTCATAGACGACGCTGGGCACAGTGTTATGGAGCCCGGGACGAGAAGGAAGTTGACTGAAGTGTGCGACGAATACGCGTCTCTGAGCGTCTAGCCCTATGCAGCCGCGGAACCCGTGTTAGGCTAGCGTTATTGTGAGACATCACGATCCGATGAATTTGACGGAAAATTAAGCCGTACTTGAGCATCACAGCTTTGGTTTTGCGGGCCGTTTATGTGTTGGCTGACTAACGCCAAGACTGCTTGCTAAAGCCCAGAAGACTGCTGGGGCCCGCGCAAACGTCGCACGCAGCACCAGCAGTCTTCAATTCCTGTGAGTGACGTAATGGACCATGGCTACGACCACGCCCATCTCGACCACGACGCCACCCGCAGCTATCGATAACCACGAACGGGTACGCGCATACGAGATCGCCGCGTGAGAATTGCCAGCCGACGTCACATTGCCGATTCCTGTTGCTAACACGGCCCTAGATATCTCTCTGCCGCGTCGTTCCCCTTCCACATCCCAGAAGGACCGCCGTCCGAACCAGTCCCCAGCAGCGACATAACCCTCAACGCCCTCGTCCAGCATGGCGTGCACAGGATGGATTGCGATCGCGCATTCCTTTCGCTCATTGATAATCGAAATCAATTCATATGCGCAGAGATGACGAGGCACCAGTCGCTTTCGAGTGCAGACCCGGCCGAGCCGCTCTTGCTGGGTACTTCCCGAATCGCCCTCGAATGGGGCGTCTGCCCATTCACCATGTGCATCTTCCAGGGCAAACCAGTGCCTATGCCGGAAAGTCCCTATATCATTGCCGACAAGTCGTATTTCTGCATAAAAGACTTTCGCCAGGTTCCCACATTTGCCGAGCGCCCGTTCGTGGCTGGCTACCCGCACATGGTTTCATACCTCGAGATACCGCTGTTTGCAATGTCTGGGCACATATTGGGCAGCTACTGTGTTGTTGACACTAAAGAACGGGACTTTCTGCATCCCAAGTCTCTGAGCACTCTTCGCGAAACTACCTCGGCTATCAGTGCATACCTCGATATGCGACGCGCCGAAGCTTGTAAGTCTCGATCTGCTGAGATGATGCAAGGTCTTCGCCGCTTTGTGGCTTCAGATGACATGGTTCCAAGGTCTGTGGCCCCTGTGCGCTCTGGAGCTCACACAAGCCAATTCGACCTAGATGTTTTTGGCGCCGCCTCGCGAAGAAAACCTGACAAGAAGCTATCCGACGGCACGAATGCAAGCGTCACCATGTCAGACCATGTCCAGTCATTGCCTGTTTGCGATACATCTGTTATCGTTTCGCCCCAAGATAATGTCTCGAAACGGGTCAAATCTGACTTTGCTACTCAAGTCGACACTCTCTTCATGAGAGCCGCAGATAGTATTGCCGATGCTATGGGCCTGGATGGCCTAGTATTCTTTGACACTGTTTCAACTTGCGCCCGAAACAAAGGTTGCCAGGTACGAGACATGTCTCCTGACAATACATCTTCGCCAACATGCGAACTCTTTGCGGTACCTCTGTCCTATTACCACAGAGATAACGCCCTCGGAAAGCTGAAATTGCGTCAGTCGCTAATCCAGCGCTTGACTGCCAAGTACCCTCGAGGGCATGTCTTCGCTGTCGATGAACATGGGGTCTTCCAACACGATTGCGATGACGAACTTGACTCTGCTGCGGATGACAGATGGAATGACCTCTTCAGTTTATTGCCAAAGACCCGCTACGTAATATTCTTGCCTATGTTTCACTACTCAAGAGAAGCTTGCTACTCTACCTGCCTAGCTTGGGTATCTGACACAGGCAAAACACTTGACACTGGCGATGTCAATTCATTGACAGCTTTCGGTAACTCGCTGATGGCTGAGGTCTTTCGCTTAGAAGCATGCGAGAATACACTTTCCAAGTCGGATTTTGTTTCGACCATCAGTCACGAGTTACGAAGTCCCTTGCATGGCATTTTGGCCAGCATTGAGCTGATCCAAGAAAACTGCCAGGGATCTGGTTTGATGTCGGAGATCTCCATGATTGAGTCTTGTGCGGTTACTCTTCTCGATACATTTGACCATCTTTTGGAATATTCCAAAGTGAATAGCCGCGCCAGCGTTGGACAAAGAGGCGGAAATGGACATCCTCGTTCCACCACCCACGTTCATCACGGTGCAGTAGCTGTCGACTTGGCTTCTATGGTCGAAGATGTCATTGGGACTGTTTCCGTAGGTCATGACCATTCTTCGCGCCTCTCTTCTGGACTCAATAAAGAGCGTCAAGATTCGTTGGCTGGATCGCCCGCAACGGCACAATCCGAGCCTGTCGTCGTCACCACACACATTGAAAAGGCCCGTGATTGGACCTTTGTCATCGACAAGGGTGCTTGGAAGCGCATTTTACTTAATGTCGTCAGCAACGCATTGAAGTATACCAAGTCGGGTTACATTCACGTAGGTCTAGCATTCGTGGAGGCTGCCGATGACAGTCAGTCACACATCAGTCTTTCTGTGACCGACACGGGTGTAGGCATGAGTGAGGATTTCCTCAAATATCATCTCTTTACACCCTTTACTCAGGAGAATTTACTAAGTCCAGGAACTGGGCTAGGTTTGAGCTTAGTGAAAAGCATCGTGGAGTCACTACACGGAACTATATCAGTCTCTAGTCGTTTGGGCAAGGGAACGAAGATTATCATCAACATTCCGGCTAGTCAAACGGCGCAGATACCAAATGCGCCACGTGGCGAGAGCGTTTCCTCTCACGAATGCCTAAGCGGAAAGGCAATCGGTATGCTCAGTCTCTCTCTACCCGAAGAGCAAGGCAAAGGGTTTGCACCCTCTATCGATTCGCCTCCCGAAGCGCTGGAGCGGGCCGTTCAAAATATCTGCGAGGATCGCTTCGGCATGAGGTTCACCACTGTTTCCACAGACATACTCCCGGTTCTGGATGTACTCCTCATTGATCACCATGCCCTCTCTTCGACACTCACGTACGACTTGAAAGCTTTGTTCCCTACGTATACGGGAGGGACTTACCCGGTCATGGTCGACCTGCGCAATATTAAAGGCGCACCTCCAGAATCTGGCACTAGCAAACCCATGCACACAGTACTAGTCACTGCAAACTCGCTCGGACCTGCACTCATCTCGGCTATGAAGGATGCCACTACCAAGGAGATGGCCGACGCAGTGCCGTCTATAGAAGTCAGAAGCAGACCTGACATGGAGCCAACAGAGCAATTAGAACATGCCAAAACAATGCTAGAGCCAGACCCGCAAACCAAAGTACTTCCACACCGCAGCTTGTCGTTGCAGCGTGTGACACTAGCCGACGCCGCCACAAGTCCTGCTCTACAAGCACCATTACCAATACAACCACCTACCCCGCTTACAGGCAGCCCAACATGCCGATTCCGCCGTCTGCTCTTGGTAGACGATAACCCCATAAATCTAAAAATGCTTTGCGCCTTTGCAAAACGCCTCGGCGTACCGTATTCGAGTGCCACCGACGGCGCAGAAGCGGTGCGTCTCTATCAAACCGCCACTGAGCAAAGGGACCCAAAAGCAAATTATGACTGCATCTTCATGGACATCAGCATGCCAATTATGGATGGCTTCCAGGCCGTATCCAAGATTCGTGGAATCGAACACGGTTTGATGGAAAAAGGCATACCAAGACAGTCCGATGACGCTGCGAGACATGGTCTAGATGGTACTCTAGAGGATGAGAGAGGTACCCGGGCGTACATCTTCGCATTAACGGGTCTTGGTAGCGAGAAAGCGCGAAAGCAAGCGAAGAATAGCGGTTTTGACGAGTTCCTTCTCAAGCCAGTGAGGTTCAAAGACGTCCTACCGTTGTTGGCACGTCTGCCGACTGCATGAGGGCTATGGGTCATCTGTCGCATTGAATGCAGACTTCGTTATGGGGGCGTTGGTTTCATTTAGTCTATGTAATATGCTGGCGTTCAGATTCTGGGGAAGCTCTACTCAGAGCTTATGGATGTAATAACGATCTTGGGGATGAGGCTTCCGGTAGCACTGCTTGCTCAACATACGAACAATTTCAGAACAGTGATAACATCGTATGTATGCGCTACTCACTGACGGCTGTCTTGCAGTGACTTAAGGGTAACCGGTGTTGTCTTGGCTAGCCTTCATCATGTCTGTCAGTGTTTGCTTTTCTATATCTTATAGCAAGGCGCTTCCAAGTCGGTTCAACCCCTCCGACGGCAGCGAGAGGAGCTACGAAAGCCCGCTCTATAATTGCAAAGAACGAAAAAGTAAGGAAACACGGACTGAAGGCTCAAAGTAGAAGGTGCCGTTCTGCTCGGAAGACTAGGAGCTTAGCCTCGACCAAACATCTATAATGGTAGATGCTGTCATGCGGAGGCGCCTCACGATTTCGTGACGCCTTAGGGATAGAGAGCTGGATCGCATTCTTGTTGGCGGAGCTCGATATTGAGGTGACGTTGTGGCGCCGTCACATGGATGAGGACTGTCTCGTCTATGGTCTTTGCTTGACGTTTGTTGGTGCGTTAATGATGGGGTTGGAGTCTGAGCGCCTAGTTGAGGACTACCCAGGCATGTTATATGCACACGCACTTGTAATTGAGGTTCATGGCGAGTCTTCTACTCACTGCTGTACGTAGCCGTAGTCTGTCTGGAGGTCTGTAGAAGTACGGCCGACTTCACAAAAGACTGGCTCGTACATGAAAGAAGCCAGTAAGAATCAAACAGCGTATTGAGCCCGACTCGGTACAACATCAAAGTGAGTGCTGCCCAGTGGCGTCAGGATGTGGAGTTTAGCGTTCTGTGCCAAAGCCTTTCGCCTAGGCACGCGCAAGTTACATGGCAGTGCAGACAGTACGGAACACCCGGCATCGTGCTTTCTACTGGTGTAAATTGCCAACGTGCTTTTTCGTTTTCGTTGCTTTGTTCATGGAGGCTATTTAGGAGTTTGGTAGCTTACAGGGTTGGTCACAACGGTCGCGAGTGAATACCCGCAGCAAATGCGCCTCTGCAATTAGTTGGTGGTTAAGCACAAGCTGGCATCACATCAAGTACGCCGGCAATATACCGGTGGTTTTTGCGGCTAATGGTGTTGGCCTAAGGTACGATCTCACTAAACTTTGAGCTGACGTAGCTATCTGGGAAGGATCGGCCGATTTATACCTATCTGGACATTCACTCTTAATACCATGTCTCTCATTTCCTAATCGACATGTGTTGAGTATTCCGGTCGCTACAAATCAGCAGAAATTGTGCAGCGAAGTCGCCGAAGTTGAGCTACCATGAGAGCACAGGAGCTAGCTCCTCGCCAAAGTATAGGAGCTGTCTGTACGGCTAGTGTCGGCGAGCGTCCGCGACTCAGCGGGCTCGGCATTATTCCGAGCCCTGACTTGGACAAAAGAAACAACAACACATCAGCCGGACCCTTTGTGTTGCTTTTGGCGGACCGCGCCACGCAGCGAACATGTCGCATTTCCCTTTTCCAGGTAGTCACCTGCATGCCGTTGTACATTATGAGACTAGATTGCCATCTACACGAGGGGCAACAAAGGCCTCCACGTGACTTGGCATTGGTTGCGGCCGCTCCGGACACGGAAAAAGCAGATCTGCATAAGGCTCGGCGACCCTACTTCGTTGCTGGGATTTCTGACTGGACGATCGTAGGTGCCTGCTTTTGCATGTTCGGGCGGCTGCATCATCGCACTGACGTTCGACGGCTACGCCCGCAGAAGGATCGCCGACCCGTAGATACCGCTACTACACTACACCCTTTCCAGTGGGGCGCCGCTTGCCAACAAAGAGCTACTAACTGAACAACCTCAGCTGAACTCGGGCACGTCGACAAGAAGCCTTGTTCACAGAAGGTAGCGATCTACTATGCTACTGCAAGGCTAATCTTGGCGCGGTGAAGCGATCGGGGTAGTCTGAGCTCACCCTACAAGTTGGGAAGTGACTTGAGCCCCTTAGCCCTGAGATCGGTTAGTGCTCTCTACCCAATACGGCGTCTCTTGATTCACTGGGAGTAAATTGTTGATCATGTATTAGACGAGAGTAGTGGGAATCGATGATCGCAATGCCATGTGCAGATTCAGCCGCAAAAGCCCCACTCGGCGATGGATTATGGCAGATCTCTCTGCCAGAGACGAGTTTGGTAGACCCTGTCGATAATCACTGTGAGGTAACATCAACCACAATACTGAGAGCAGAGTGGTTACCGACGATAGTTGAAAGCTGCTTCAATATGATGCGATAAAACATGTCAACTCATGCCATACTCCGATCAATGATCTTTTAGGATCAACGTCCAAGAACGTTTTGTCAACTGATTCAGAGGCCTACATGCAAACATCTGCGTGTGTTCGGTCAAGGCAAAGTGGGTTGTAGTGCATAGCCTCACCTGTCATTGAACTTTGTTCTTTCGATAGTAGCGTACGCTACACCACCCACCTTCTGGGTTATGGGCTTGATTGGCATTTCAACGCGGTGTCCAGGAGGATCAGCGAACCTAGTTGTCGTTCAGGACTACGGGAGGCATTTGCTCTGTTGACTCGAGCTTGGCTACATCGCACGTCGGGTATAAAGACACCGCAGTCTCCCATGAAAAGAAGGTATCGCACACCTTCATCTGCAATCATCACTCCTCACTTCTACCATCTACCACCAACAACCGCTTTCACAGCTTCTTCCCACCGCAATCATGGTCTCATTCCGCAACTTCTTCACCGCCGCCTTGGCCTTCTCCGTGCCCATCTCCGCTGCAATCACGCCTGCTGAGGTTGTCACCAACATTAAATCTATTACGACGAAGAGCATGGCGCTTCAGGCGCCGGCCAAAAGCGTCACCATTATCAGTGGACAACTGCTCCTCGTCGGTCAGGGACCATTCCCCGAGATCATTAGGGGCTTCGCAGACATTGTAACTACCGCCACCACCGCCATCGCTCAGATGCAGGGCATGCCCAAAGAGCCCGCAGGCGCTTCTACTGATGCCGTCTTCGAAGCCTTCCGCGAAGTGAGTACCATCTGTTCCACAGATATTCATGTTGCTTACGACGAGAAACAGTTTGTCCGAGTTCATCAAGCGCTGCTCAACATCCTCATTGGCAAGGCCGGTTTGTTCAGTACTGTCCCTTTCGTCGGTGCGCCCGTTGCGGCTGTACTCAGGCAGATCGAGAAGGTCGTTGATGTAAGTCTTTCTTCTCTTGTAGTTTTCACGCCCAGCGCCCGCTCCGATACTATCTGTTGAACTCGAACGTAATTCCTTGAGTCTGCTCGCTAACAGCCTTTCGCAGACGATTGCCTTCATGTTGATTGATACCTTCGAGGCCCGCGCCGCAGACTTCAAGGATGAAGCAGGTGCCCTTTCCGGAACTCTTACTGTTTGCATCAACCAGTACCAAGGCATTGCCACCGGTATCACCAAGAGGAACCTCAGGTTCGCGCGCCGCGAGATGGTTGCTGCTGCTTAGATAGGCTTTCAGCCCAAAGATCACCAGGCGGAAAGCTCTCGGAGCTGAACGATGTCTGTGGATGGAGTGGGGGAGGAGTGTCGAGGACGATGGGCAGTATTTGTAAAACCTTAGAAGGTCTCAGGACAGTCATTACCACATGGTTGGCCATGTTTCTGTTTGACAGCTGCGCTTTACGGTCGATTGTATAGTTAATGTAAAGTCACTTTCGTCCAAGAGTCCACCATCACGATGTGAGTGTTTTGCATCTATCCCTTGCCTCTGCGTATAAGTCGTAGGAACTTGTCACTAGCGCTCTCCTAACACCTCTCATCTCGGGTACATCTCTCTATGTTTGTTACTCAGCAAGCGTCAGTGCGCTTGCGGGACATCTGGCTGCTGACGTCGATAGAAGCGCCGGGAGACGGGTGGACACATCCTTCGGGCCATGGGTCCTTGAAGAGAAGCCAGCGAAACAAGCACCGATAAACAAAGTCTTTATATCTAGTCTCGGTGATGTTTGGAGTAGTTTGTGGGTGGAATGCCTGCTCAAGTGCAATTGAAGAAAGAGCGACACTCTCTTCTGGCCTAGCGTGGTGACATCATCCCTTATTGTCTCCTTGACTGCTCCTTCCCTCTTCATTCCTCTGTACATTCACCCAAAGAACACAATGCGTGTTCTCTAGGTTCAGTCGGATTCTTTCAATCCTCGGTCACGTACTGTTACCAGTGTGCGGCTGGCAGACAGATATGAGAGCGCAGGCTACATTCTCATGACCGTAGCTCGTAGAGCAACTCCAGAATAGTCGACAATATTCACTGGTGGTCTGACCAAATCATGTAGTCATCGTTGGTGCACGGACAGGTTTTATCACCTAGGCAGGGGCAGCTTTTGACCTCGGGGCTACAGCAATTCTCGCTCTCTACGTTCGGTCAACATAAACCAATCCCTCAACCTAGCATCATTTGACTGACCCTCTGGAGACCATATAGGGCAGTCGTTCTGATCAGACCACCAGCGAAAAGACAAAATGGACTTGATCGAGCTTCCAGTAGAGCTCCTCAGCCGAGTATGTCGCTTCCTCGGACGAGCGTCGGGTACCAACAACAACAAGTATTCATACAAGAACAGAGACTTTGGATCGCTGCGATCGACATGCAAAGCCATCTACGCCAGGACCGAGTTCGACGCAAGCATTCGGTACGGCCTCCAGGAATGCCGCTTTTATCTCGAGTCGTCGTCGCTTGCTCTCTTCCTACACTTGTCCCGTATCTCCGCCTTCCGCAATCCAATGGTGCGCATAACTGTATGCCCGCCCAAAAAACCCAAGACAATAAGCGACTACGAGTGGTATCTGCTACACGAGGACGAGTACAGCTTTGTGAGGTCTGGTGAAGCCGCCCATGTGCTCGCCCAATGTTTCC